TCGGTCTCCACATGTGTCAGGCAGTTCGGAGACTAACGACATCAATTGTGTTCCACCTAGACAGAAATCAATGCAGTCACTTCTCTGAAAAGCAGGAAGGCCCCTGGAGAGGACGGGATACTCCCAGAGTTATTCAAAGCTTGCTTACCAACTGTGATCGATCCGTTGCACTCTCTTTTGCACACCATTTGGGAAAAAGAAAATTTTCCAAAAGACTGGACGGGTTCAATTTTAGTTCCGGTTCCAGAAAAGGGTGACAGATCTAGATGCGGAAATTGAGGGTATTAGCAGCATTGATATTGCGACCAAATGGTTTGCAGTGATACCGCTTAGTCACTTTGCAGTCATTAGAGGTACCCACACTCGCCCGGACCAAGGGGGTTTCGCCGCGGAAGAGGAGGTGTGGAATAAATCTTCACTCTCAGTAGGATTCTGGAACACCGTTACAAGCTCCAACAGGTTACCACGACATGTTTCATTGACTTCCGCGCTGCGTTTGACTCTGTCGATTGATAATCCTTGTGATGCATACTGCGGTCCGACGGGATGCCAGAGAAGGTCATCAAACTTTTAAAGTGATGCTACTCAGGAAACCGGGCATGCGTCCGTAACTATGAAGAAGAATCAGCTGAGTTAACCCTAAGCCTGGCTGTATTCCGTAGATTGGATAATGCGACAAGCACTCATCGACTACCCTGGAGTGCAGCTTGGTCCAGGTACATGGATTGCGGACCTCGAGTTTGCTGATGATTTTGTTGTACTCGGAAACACGACGGACAAGCTCCAGTCTGTTGTTGGTCGTATAAATCAGTTTGCCCAGGCCACCGGGCTAGAGATCAACAAGTCAAAAACGAAGGCATTTTCGACCGAAAATTTTGCCATGACACAACCCCTCTCGATTAATAGGGAGCTTGTCGAATCAACCGAAGTTTTTAAGTATCTTGGCTCTATGATAAGGCCACGCTAAGAATGAAATCCAACTCCTTGTAGATGGAGCTAGAACAGCCTTCCTGCAACTCCTCAAACTGCTGTGGAATCGATGCGAAATAAGCTTAAACACTAAGCTTTGGGTTTATCCTAATTTACGATTGTGAAACCTGGCTGCCAAGAGTACGATATACAAAGTCTTTGAACATTGGTGCGTACACCGCATCTTGAAAGTAAATTGGAGATCGGATTTTCAACGATGAGGTTCGACGGCGCTGCTCGAACATTGACAAGCTTTCAAAGGTGCTACAACGCCGGCGCCTCCAGTGGTTTGGTCATGTGCTCCGAAGGCCAGACACACGCGATAGGCTGTAGGCCCCGCACCGTGCCGTTGATAGCGTTGCCGAGTCGGTGGTCAACTGAAGACCTGGAGCAGTACGATCAAGGCGGATTTGCAATTACTGGGTCTCCAATCCGTATATGGAATTCGCAACTGGAACCAGAACTGGGTTTCACACTGCGTCAACCTTGCTACCGATCGTCATGCATGGGCCGCCATCATTAGAGACATCCAAGAAGCCGACTTATCCTCCCGCAGGAGTTAGTCGATCAAAAGTAAAAGTAAGTAGGTAACATTTGTATGTTTATTGATTACACATCTCTGCGTAAGACATCCAATAGGTGTTCCCAAAGGAACAGTGCGATTGTCTGTTACAGAATTACGAATGGTGTTGCAGAATTGGTGGAGGTCGTGAGTGAGAACAACCAAATTACATATCCAAATTGTCGGCGGTTATCGATTTACAGTCTAAAGAATAAGTGAATGTTACAATTGCTCCTGGAGAGAGCATAAACGATCTTTTGGTAGCACACGGAATAGCTAAAGCGCAGCGCAGAACTTTGCATCCAAGTTGGCGTAGCAAGATAACTTGAAGTACCGAAGAAAGCATCTTCAATCGAAAACTGTTATACAAAAGTGAAAGCCACCCAAAATGTAAAAATTGAGATTCCAGGGCAAATTTTGGCAGAACGTGTTCTGGTTAATACAGAAGCAGCTGAAACGCTCAAGTTACTGCACCTGATAACGCAGAGCTACGATTCCAACACAGTTGCTAGATTATATTCTACATCCAACACTAGCCACAACTATTTTATTCCTGAAAAATTAAAATTAAAGCCATCGGCTTTGAAAACAATTTCATTTCAAAGCATAGATAAAAACACCCACAGACCTTATCACCTGGGCAAGTTACAGTCGGTTGACTATTGTAGAGAACATTTGACATCGCTGTGATGGAGTAATTTCGACTACTTAAAAAGCTGGATATCATTATGACCTTTATCGCTTTCTTCCATGCATTGTTCAAAGTCGAAAAGATCCACAGCCGAAGAAAGTATGAAGGGTCGTTTGAAGGAAAAAGAGTATTCTCTTCAGCCTAGCAAAGGTTCCCGTAAAGCGAACATATAATGCCAATCCGCTATCGGCTCGAGATAAATGAACAAAACTAAACGAACAGGTTAAGGCGAAAGGACGTAGTGAATCTTAGCCTTTCCAACACATGTGAACAGCGAGAAAAAGCGAATCAAGGGTCGATTAAGAATAACGCCGATTCAAATGAGCGGAGATATAAGACTACGTAAGTAAGCCACAACAATAAGGTTGCCATATTTTCACGAGCATATATCTCTGCCACATGCAACTGAATGATAAGGATCTTGATGTTTGTTACAGACAACCTAAGCTGTTCGAAAATCTGCCCCAGGGAACTGTTCGTAGCCTCAATCTATGCCAGTCAACTTTAGCTTGTCTTTGGTACACTGGAGCCACCGCTGTTCCCGTGTATATTACTGGAGTACGCTATTTAAGCTTTGGAGCGTCCATAAGAAGTGATCGCGAAGATGACCAAGGGACTGTTTCAGTTTCAGTTCTTACAACCATCAACAATGCACATCCGTGCGTCGGATGCTGTCTTTCGGCTGCCCATTTCGATGAAAGAGTAGAGGATGGGAATGTTGAGAACGGAGTCAAAGAGAGCGGTTGCAAGAATAAAGAGTAGGTGCATGAGAGGCAGTCCGCAATAGGTTCGAACCCTGCCATCGCATGGTAGGCAGCTTCGCTGTCGTCCGGCTTAGTAGAACGCTAATTACGCGACCTTGTGGGGTTCATCACTCGAATTCCCGGGGCCTATGTTGCCGATTTCCGTGAGTAAACAAGTCCTCGTGACTACGAGGTTAGTCTGCTGTTTATCACACAAGAGTGTGCAATAAAAAATCATGAAAAAGTACATAGAAGAGGAGAATCACGTGATACTTCTCATGCACGAGACGGTGCATTTCTCATCATTATAGCCCCGATAAGCGATTCAACTGTGGAGAAAACTGTATGGAACAGGAACAGCTTTTCTCATGCATTTCTCACGATAAAACATTGTCCTTGAATAGAAATGCAAGAATATAGGTCATTTTCGGATGAGGCATATCATAAATATTCTGAATATAACAGTATGCAATGAGGAAAGATCGAAGAAATGAGATGAGTTATTGGTTGAACTGAAACCAAACTTGTGAAAAAAACAGTAAAGTGTGGTTTGCATGGCTTTCCCCAATGTGGGTTAGTGAATGCGAGCAAGATACTGGCTAGACAGATGACTCCTCGATTCTATAGTCGGAATGAGTTGATCCAGTCTGCTAAGGAGTTCTCCAACCAGATACCACCGTGGAGAGCGTCTTTTGTGTGTAATCTATTCGGGTTGAAAACCACTGTATAAAAAAGCTTGGCTGATGCACGTGTTTTGTATTTGACAGCAGGCATTTTCACATGGCGATAAAACATAATTCGCGCGGAAAGTGATCGGTCACAATGGCGATTGATTAAATCGGTTAGAGACGCTAATGCGGCCAACAAAGAGGTTCTATCACGAGCTTATGTGCGAGCAGTCGGTGGGCCTGAAACCGGAATGAGGATAGGTCAGTTTCTGTGCAGTCTATACAACTGCTAACCATGCATTGCAAGTGCGGCGGTTTCGCTGGCTGTTAATATCGATGTATGAATAAAGGGAAGAGTGGAATGCTGACAGCTCATCGGGGAGTCCCAGTGTTCACTTTAGATAAAACCACGCGCGGTCATTGGTTTTAAACTGACGACCGCCTCCCTCAAGTCATTACCACGAATGTGGATATCGATGACCTTATCGAACTTTAATCAATCACTCGGCTTNGTATCCGCTATAATTTAAAATCCGCATGTGTTGGCATTATCGTTCATCACTATTCAGTTCAGTTCAGTTTAAACAACAATTAAGAATGCAGTTCCATGCGCCGCTTTTGGCTGCTCATTTGGGTGAACAATAGAAGGGAAACAGGAAGGTTGAAAGTAGGATCGAAGAGAAAATTAAGAAGTTCAGTGGACTAATAATGCAAGGAAATTGAGAAGATGCGCGAACGCCACTATTTACGACATCGAGCCATATTACTCAAAGTGTCTAAACATCTGTTACAATCATCCCACGGTCCCCAGCCAGGGAGCCTAACGGGATCCAAGTGACCCAGACTCCTGGTTAGGGTTTTCATACCCTCTCTTGGCTTTTTTTCCACCCACTACCTGCCTCGGCAAACATCGCTCGCCATGACAACCTATCTGGTGACATGCGTAACACATGCTCCAAACAATGTAATCTATGGTAGTCGACCACTTGCTCGATTGGGCGACCGCGTTTTCTTAAAACTTTGCGCCTGACCTCAGCATTGCTCGTCTACGTTCCGCTTGTCTCACTGGGTGCATGAAACTAAGGGCAGATCCCGAAAAGCGGACCGATAATCAACGCACCAGCGAACAACAAACTTATCCAAAACCCGAAGGCCTTGCGTGACAGGTCTCCAAACTGATTACAAAATCTAAACCTTTCAATATGTACTACTCCGGGGTTGAAAACCTGAAATGTAAGAAAACGCTTAATATGTACCGGAATAGAGTTCGGCTTGAGGAGTGTATCATCGAAATAAAACGGTGTGTGCTATCCCGGAAAATTAGTTTATCGCTCGGCGTTTCAGTTACCTAATGTTTACAATAAACTAAATAGGAGATGAAACCCAAAAGCTGATCTCAACTATGTTGCTATATAAGTGCTTTTACCGGGAACAAAATTGGACTATCACCAAAAAAGAGTCAATAAATATCCGTGGAACTCGAAGCGTTGGAGGTGTACGCTGTACGATGATGATGATGATGAAGCGTTGGAGCTTACACTGGGGAGGGCCAGGTTGAGCGATTTCTAATAGAGTCAAAGATGCGCACGCTTGCAATGCACACCTAGCGTCGGTTTGAAGATTCATTAGGAGAGCAAGAATGTGATACAGAAACGGGTCATTACACTATATGGAGCACTTATCAGAGTTTCGAAAGGTGTATATGCACCTGAGTCTGTATACCAGTGACGGTTATGCAGTGTAATCGGGCTGGTAGCCGGCTTGCAAAGGTGACTCGACGAGCAGTGCTTAATGCAAAGAGAGAGGTAGGAGGGCTACAAATGTCTGATCGAGAAGAGTAAGTTGTTTCAGTTCTACTTCGGTTTTTCTCTCTCCAACACACATAAAGACATTTTCAAACCACACACAATGCTGCGAAGCGACTCCTATTCACGTGTTTTGGGGTATTTCTTCGGCTGAAGATTCGTGACCAGAAAATCATGTGGACCGAAATAAAGCAGCACCGGCATCTGCCACGTGTTTCGCAGTGCAAAGATTCCCGTCACCTATGCTCACACACTTCCAGGTCATGTCCTAGATGCGGCTGACTCAATGAAAAGCACGAACGGTAGCCTTATATAAGAATGCATCAGTGTATGTGCTTTTTAAGGGACTACTGATCGATCGATTTTAACGTGGCTGAAAAAAACGACACACGGACCCAACCATACAATCACATGAACATCTCGATCGATGATGAAAATTAAAAAATCACACCGCACTTACGTCAGATTCGCGCCGCACTTCTACGCGGAATAAGCCGTTGGGTAATGGTGAAATTATGATCAGAACATCACCAAATTGTGTTCGGAGCATGCTGCGGCTGAAGGCACGCGCATTCTCGGTCCAGATGATCATTACTTCGTCGTTTCCCAAGTGTTTATACTGCAGAGGAAAGCAAAAAAGAATGCATGGAAGTCCGATAAAAAATGCCCAAAAAGTGATGGAACAACTGGAATAGTAAAATTTAGTATAACCGAATATATAGAGGAGTTGGGTTGAGAACTGGCCAATGATAACATCATGATTTTGGTACCGTTTTTTCATCGAATCTTTTGACTAACGAATAAAACATAGATGGGTTCGTTGCCTTTTTGACCAGAATTTTTATGGCTTCCAGATGTTGGGGGCATTCTTTACTGTCCATACCACAGTAAACCACTTCACATAAGGACTAAACTAGAAAGAGGGCAGTCGGGGGTTAAGGCCTCGGTGAGAGGCTGTACAGCACGCAAGGATAGGAAATCCAAGGTAGACAGACGAGATCTAATAAGCCATCATTGAGCATGGCAACAGAGAAACCTGTTTAGTCTCCCTTCACACAATAACAGGAACTAGTGACAGCAAATGAGAAAATTGAGTAATTAGGATAATCTAGTCATTTTATCATAGAGAGAGAGAGAGAGACAAAGGATGAAGGACCATCCCGAGTTCGGGACAGTGAGTGGTAAACTTAGACGATAACAGCTATCATTTAGTCTGCAGCCTTGTGTTGTTGGGTATAAGACAAGAATTGAAGTTTCGTTTTTCCGACTCTATAAGCATAAATTCAAGGGCAACGTATTGTAGCTCGCCGGTCGACCTTATTCTATTGATTCAATTAATTACCGAGTAAGATGTTCATGAAAAAGATCTAACCTTCAAATCCTCCTGGGTGGAAGACGGCATCCGAGTGGACACATGAAAGATAACTTCAACCGTAGCGGTCGCATAATAGGGTGTGGAATTTCCTGCTCGACCACTACGTTCAAGTCCGCCACGAAAACCGCGATGTGTGTGCAAATCGACCTCCCAGCCCAAACCGGCTACAAAATTCTCAAATTCCAAACTGGCTGTCTGGTTTGCGAGAATGGACTGTTTGTCTTCCTGGCCAGCACCCACGTAGAACACGGCAATTTTATGCGTCTCACGACTGGGCCGACCAAACATCCATACATGTATGTGCAAGGAGGGGGAAGGGCAGGCAAAGGAGAGAGAGGAAAGGATTGCACTTCGAATAAAATACAGTCTACATCGACATCGAATGGAATCGGATGATGAAGAAATTACCTAGAAGAATATTTGCAACGAACATCGTCGTCCTCCTGAACTAAAACCCGTTTAAAGTATAGGGAAGAGTTAAATTTGGACAGTATTGCAAATCATAATAACTGAGGCGTGTTCGTCAAGCACAACCAACCCATTTAGTGTCCGTTTCTCCCTTAGTTTGAATTTCGCAAACAGACACCCACACACACCAATCGATCAAAATACGCTAGCGTGCAGTGAATGCATACTCGGTCATTATGACCAAGACCATTAACCCTTCGGAAACTATCTGGTCTTACTAAGGTAGGGGTAAACTTTGAATATTTTATGGAAAGAGAGCTGGCAGAATACATGTGAGGTAAGAAAACGAGGATAAGCCAACTTTCAATCGTGATTCACTGAGGGCATGAGGCATTAGTATCGTTTGAAAAACAATCACGAGAAAACCCTTGAGTATAAATCGCGTGCATACGAACGCAGTTCGAATGAGGAGGTAATGTCAAAGAAACAGGCGTGGATTAAGCATAAAATTTATCACCTAACCATGGTTACATGCAATTATATGGGGCAACTGAACGAGATAGAAATTCGGATCTACGATTCCCGATGCAAGCCAGGTGGCCGTGCAAAGTTCCGTTCGGTTACCATAGTCGGGTCAGTTGTTTTTGTTGATGATGATCGCACAGATTAATAATATGGAAAACAAATCACAAAAAGATTGGAATGAAGACAGTCAGACGGTTAAACGCACACCTCGAACGAGGTGCTCAAGAGAACGAAGCGTTCTGATCCCAATACAATGGAAACCAGGAAAGTTGAATGGAATGGGTAAAGTGACAGGAGGTTGCACAAGATAAACTAGAGTTCAACTCACGCGCCAAGTTTGTCAAGGTGTTTCAGATCGCGAACCAAACTGGCCGATTTCTGAACCAGTTCAATGGTCAATCGACGTTCCCAGGAAAGAAAACCGAGCTGATTGAACAACTGCCGGACAACGGCAAATTGACCAGAATGTACTGCCCATTCACTGAACGGATCGAATACCGTAGTACCAAACGGCGGAGACGGGTGTGAAGCGTTGTGTCTGATTTGGACGTCTGTTTCTGAGATTGGGGAAACCGCGTGCCTATAAAAATCGGAGGGGATGGAATTAGGATGGGTCGGATAACAACGGGGTTGTGTGAGATAAGCAAAGTGAATCACACAATGCAAGTCCACAGAAGTGTGAATCCGAGAACACAAATGATGGAAATTACCGGATAGTGGTTCAATTGTGGGAGTATGAAGCGGTGTGGCATCAGGGATTTCTGTACATTTTTAATCCACAGGTTGCCAAAAGTGAAGCAGTGTTGCTGCGATCAAAACTAATGAGCCCCTTATTAAGTCTCGTCAGATGACAGTTCGTGGGAATTCACACAAAAATCATCTAAGATATACATGATCCTAGAAAAGCTCGTCTGACGGGACATTAGGACCAGATAACCTTGGTGTCGACAATTGGTATTCCGCAGCAGTTAGTAATTCATAGTTTTGTTCGGGCAATGCCCAGTTCTATGTTGGAAATACCAAAACCAAAGGGGAATCAGGGAAAGTAAGATTGCATACCTAGATAGGGCATGAATAATCTCTTAATAACTTACTTGTCACACGATGCATCAACCGCTTCCAGGTCTGAATGGCATTGAGCAGTAATCTGATTCCCGGTGAGCAATTCCATGTTGAAACATGGCATATTGACACAACTAGCTGGATCGGATCGATCGGAAGCACCAGGTGGTGTGGGACCCCAAGCTATGGAACATTCCGGACTAGTAGAAGAGATCTCACGTAGAAGCTGAACGAAAAGGCGGACGAAGAAGAGACATTAAACGTACATTCATATCCGGTGTATAGAAGGACTTAGTGAAGGACTCGTTCGGTTGAGACAATGGGTTTCTGACAAGCATCGCTAGAAACGCGATGGTAAAATAACAGTAGGCGAATCTGGCGTAACAAACGAATTAGCCGAGATGTTCGGAGAAACATTCCATGGTTTTGACAATGAAGTAGCGAATAAATTGAGACATGCACAGGTTGTCGTCACTTCCGAAATTAAAAATGGTGAAAACATTCAAAATAGAGCTAACTTATTGATCATAAAGAACAACCCTAGTATGAAATGATCAGTTCGAAGATAACGGCACAGTTGTTCTGTTGGCAGTAATCCCATTCAATACAGCAGTGCAAGATAAGAGATGCAAGTGCAGCACTAGCGGGGCAGCCGTGGTTCAGATGCGGAATGTTTCTTCTTCCCAAGGTAAGATGTGCAAAGGATCGTGGGAGTATTACGCTTTTGGACACCAACTAACAGGAAACAACAGCTTAACCTATTCAGTCAGTCAGGATCACTCACTTATTGTTTTTTTTGACCCAATCAGGCGGTAAAAGTCATCAAATATCGCCTCCGGAGGATGTATTAGAAATCTACCATCACGACCAGAATTTTACCACTCCCTATGTTCGCCCCGCTGTTGTTCTCTATGTGTTATATAACAGCCCGTTGATTCGTACCTACCATTCCTTTTTGAAAATTGCATCACCGTGCATTCAATAAACAGAAGTTAAATATAAAAATCAAGCATAATTCTGGAGTGTTACTGAGCGACTTTGGGTGTTCACAGTAAGCTTTCAAAGATGGATCATGATCTAACGTGTATAGAAAGCGAGACAGCTTGGTCAGTGTACAAAAGGTTAGTAGTATGCTTACGCGTTCTACATTTAAGGTTCCGGAATCTATCCTCAGTTGGATCGATGCATTTGCACTGTTAGTGGCATGCAGTACACTTGTGCACTGGTTCTTAGCTTTCGAGTTTAGTAATCCTTTGAGCAGTATACGAAAATATTCACCCAGAAGCGACTATTGTCGATAACCGCAGCCTTCTCCATCTCTACACTTTTCTACCCAGCACTTCTCGCGGTTATTCCTCAGACTCTTGATGAGCTGGCGTTTAAGGGATTTGCGCGCTATGCCATATGTGGCATCCGGAGGCATGGTTCTGCGGGCTTCCAGCAGGGCAGCCGAAGTCGAAGAAATCCATCGTTTGTGTTTTGAACCTGCGCCAGGGTACAACGTATTTTTTAATGATGTTTGTATAGCTTCTTCGATTTGCTTCCAGTGTTTATTGAGTCCTTTGACTGGTGATTGAACTGACAGGCGATCGGAGAGCTCCGCTCCGAAGGCCGATTTGCAGCCAACACAAAATAAATCGACCAACAAAAAGGAGTGCATATACAGTTCATTGAAGATTCTCATGGTAACATTTAAGAAAACACGAAATAGCCAACGAGCTCGTTTTCGATAAGATCCTCATCTGGCTAATACAGTTATATGAATAGGTTTTAGGTATATCACACTTGCATAATGTTTGACGTGTGTCATTGTGGAACTTCTCGCAAATACGGGGCATATTGTGAATGAAGATGCCTTCAAGGTGATCTACGGAGTGCCTCCTTTTCCGTCTAACGCTATTCGTCAACAACATTTGGCAACAGCTGAGGCAGCGGCCATCCGTTTGTTTAACCCATCATTTTGTTCCCAAAAGCGATTTATTAAGGCTCCTCAACTACCATGGCCACGTAGTGAATTCAATCGCTTGATTACAACTGACCAGTTTCATGACCCCTTGGTTCTGTGCTCCAAACAGGTGATGGTCAACCTCGACTCCGTCCTAACCGTTATGTGACCCATCCCTATTCCCATCCACCCTCCACCGTAGTTCTTTTGTAAATCACACACAATCGAGTAATTGTATCTACTAATCCAATCCACACACACACGTCAAACATTATGCAACTGTAATATGCATATTACCTATTTATATAACTGTATTAGCCAGATGAGGATCTTACGAAAACGAGCTTGTTCGCTATTTCGTGTTTCCTCAAATGTTACAACAAGGAGCGAGATGAGGGCGAGTGTGCGGTATACCAGAAATAATACGCGTAAATATGTACGCAGACAAACGACACCTGAGTGGTGTTGGCAAGCTCTCCGGGCATTAAAGTTATCCCAAACTACAGAAAGCAATGAGTTTTCAGACCGACATGCAATCCAAGAAAGGAGAGATATGAGGATGAACAGGACACAAATATAAAGCAAAATAAGGAATTATTTTAGATTAATTGTGCCTCGTATTTAGATTTCTCTGGGAACTGAACAACAGAGGACTTGAAACACTCACCGAATGAAGAACATCCGGTGTAGGATGGGTTGCAATNGCACGGCCGGAATGGGCGAAGCGGAACCCAGCATAAACGAAGTGGCGTTAGACGCATTTGTCGCAAGTGGAGGTGGATTGGGATTAAGGCGTGGTGGGGGACAAGGTGGGGCATTGCGACCTAGTTGGCCGAGGGTTCGGGAGTCAAGCACGATCACACCTTCTGTGTTTTCATTGCCGATGGTATGTGGAACACTTTGGCCACGACCTTGTGCCACAGAACTGTTCCACTGACCATGCAGACATGATAAATCCCAACTATATTTACCAGAGAAGTCTCGGACGATGATACGGGTGTAGTTGGAGTCTGTACCGATGGATAAGGGATAAGGTTAACCAGAATAGAAAGATTTAAGTGCGAGTAGGATGTATAGCGATCAAGTTTGGGTTCGGACTGTGAGAAACAAGCCATGGTATAAGAATCAACAGGACATAAAAATCAATCCATTTGTCCATTGATGAGACACTGCTAAGGTATCTAAATCAAAACAGATTAATTTGGTTGACTAAATATTGACTCGTAAAGTCAGGATGAAAGAATCTCAGTCCACTGAGGCCTGATCATGCGCGGGTCGGAATCTCGACAACTGCTACTTTCGCCCTTTATATCCTGTTACAAGGGAATCCAAGAGTCTTATTAATAACCTAACTCTAGTACGCAGATTACGGATTGAAATCGAGCCTAGCATGCTCGATGTATTATATGTAGTACAAGAGGTTAAACAACATAAACAAGAGAAACTAACACCAGTTTCCTGAAACCGGAACACTAAGCTTTTTGGCTTGGAGTGGCATATTAATCAGTCAGACGACAGTAAACTTGTTGTTTGCTACCCAAATTGATTGGCGCCGGCGGGATTAATATCTCGGAATGTGATGACCAACGGGGCGCAAATGACTGGAACCAATCAATCAACAAGCCGCACACAATGATTCCGTGTGCAGCTAGTACTCTGAGGACTGAATAGCACCATTAACCACCAATATTATTGTACATCTATTTGCTCATCGATCGAGAATAAGTGCCTTGTGGAAATGTATTAGGCCACAGATGAAAGTTTGAGCATTCGCGACAAGGGATGGTAGTGAAGTCATACCGAAGGTATTGTACTGGGAGGATACGTGAGAATGTAGTGCTGGTTTACATGCATTCTGCCTTTTTGTTGATATTATACTCAGTTTTGGATTTCATTGATCGACTAAATGGATAGTCGAAAGAGTGCAACTAAAACCAGAGCGGAACAGTACACAGCGAATGTTTGTGTAGACTGAACGGAACCGCATCTGCCTGGCAGTCTATGAGGCCCGGTTTGTCTAGAACCGAGAAAAAGCAGCACGTACCAAATGCAACCGCTACATCAGCGTCGGTGAACAAACCCCTTTCAATTGATGTGGGGCTTGAATTCCTGCTGCTGTGACTAACCTTGAAAGCCTGGAACCCAACAACCTGAACCGGTTGCGACAATTTTGACAAGTGAATCTAGTAGGTTGTTCGATTGATATCTATCATCAGATGGACGAAACTCATTTCCAATAAATTTTCGGGGATTATCACTCACGGAACGTCTATCCTTTGAGTATGGGTCCATTGACTGTAGCGTAGAATTCATCATAGATAGATCATCCGTGCTGTGGTAAACCTGAAATGAGTCTACATTTTTCTCTGAATTGTTAATGTTGAGCTAGAAATCATTGTGATTAGATAGCGTTATCAGAGATGGGACGTATGTGTGAGCATGGATATAAATACATACTATCCCACAAGCTGGCTGTCGTTTTAGATTACAAACTTTATTAGGGAGATATCGAATCATAGAATAAACGTCGGGACAATCCAGGAAAACCGAAGACCCACCCCCACTCTAGATTCAAGAACTTCTACCTATCAACATGGTGGGGGGATCACTTTGTTACCATGAAAGTTCCATTCGGCAAAAAATAAACGATACAATCTTGTGGTCGTGATAGGTATACTCAATATTTTAACATGACAGTGATTGTGACCATATAAAAGAGCTACTCCGGAAATTTGAACCATTTCTAGTAGTTTCTCAAGCGTCCTCATACGACCCTATATTTCGCCTCAATATGAAAGCTTTGCACACGAACTAAATCCTCACTAATCGGAGGTTTCCAAGGATTGATTTGAAGAGGGTGGATAGATAAATGAAACAATGTAGCCATGAAATAGAACTGGAGTAATCATTAGCACGTCGAATACGAAAATGTCTGCTACCCAAGAGGGACGCACAATAATAGACAACCATTGAAACATAATTAGGCATTTGTGGAACACTAAGGTGAGGCATTATTCAAACGCGATTACCACTTCAGGCATAAAAAATGCACCGGAAACAGAGGTGGTTATTGTTAAGATAGATGGGTTGTAGTCTAGATTCACGAGAACCGTATATCGACAAATGCAATGAGAAACAGTCGAGTTTGCGCAAGCGCAAGGGCAAACATATAAATGCACTAAGTGGTACGGCAACAGTAGTTGTATATAAGAATACCCCTACTTCGGTAACAACAAGCATGGTATTATCGGTCGTTTTCATCATTCGGGCTGTTGTTTTGAGATAGATATTTCAATGCCCTCATCAGTATATATATATATATATATATATATTGCCATAACACAGGTGGCAGACTTACCTGACANTCTGCGATGAACCTGCAGGTTGTGCCAACCGTTTGAGTGGGAAAAGCTCTGTGGTTGTGAAAGTGACGGGTGACTTCTCAGGAGTAGTGGAGCTAGACGCATCAGAAGTCCGCTTTGGTAAATCAACCTTGGACCCAATGCAGTAGTCAATGGGACTAACCGGTAACGATAGCAGACTGACCAGAACTGAACTATTGATAACAAAAATCTGTACACTGGACGATTCGAGGATTTCGGCAGTCAGCTCCTTCTCATTGATCACGCGTCCGCTTGCATCACGTCTAGTGTGGTCTACGGCCTGATCATGATGCTCTTGCACATGAGTATTCAATAACGCGCCTTGGGAATCCTAAACAAATAACAGAAACACATAGTTACACGTGACTTGAGGTCGAAAAACAATGGTTTCACAATGCACGTTTTTCAACAAGACATACAACCAATAAGTAGCAAACCGAGAACTTGCCATGGGAAAATGATCTTGATAATTCAGTATTTGACACAAAGCGACACGTGCAGCCAGACGAACTGACTTTGAGCCAGAATAAGATTCCTCCCCGGAAAGCTGAAATCCGCTCCAGGGGTGGCCGAAATCTGCCATTAGGAATGATTTCATGGCTAAAGAAGACGAGTCTAGGCGGGGTTTCAGAATCTGAACAGGGAAGAACAAAACGCAAGCAGAAATACAGAGATGGCACTGGAGATAAATGAGAGATCCGTAGTTCCCTACTGATCAGTCTTGCAGGAAAAAAACGGCAATGGATCTTCATCAGAAATAAAAGAAGGAATGGTAAATAAATGCATCGAAGCCGGGATGTTAGAAATAAATTAAACTAAAAGAGTACTTTCATACTGCGCAGTGATTGTAATTGATCACCGAAGATCGTTTATCAGTCATCGCCGGTGGTGTACAGAGAACGCAACTCCGCAAGAACAAATGTTTGATACTCCACCGAACGGAAGCAAGACCGACTATCACCGAATTTAAAAAGCGACTGACAGTGAAACTGGTACCGAACTTCACATTTTTATCAAATTTGTCCTAATGTCTTAGCTGCCCGATTACTGCATCAGGATCGGGAAAACCTGTGCGTTGGCTAGCAGTTTTTATGCAAATGGCTCTTGTTCTGAACGATTTCGATGAAAGCAGTAAAGGATATCGTTGTGTACAGAGAAAAGTAAACGAGTGTCGAAAATCTTTTGTCAGTTCATTCATATACTTGTACCCAGGATGTATATTTTCGACACAATAAACTTGTTTGCATCACCGGGTGACGTTTGGTTAGCTCTTTCAGAGACAGTCCATTGAAGAATCAATGCTATGATTCAATGTTTTTGTAAGTAGGTTAGATGCTACTAACCACAATAGTCATTC